ACATGAAGAAACTGAGAGGTTATCAAACAGAAAAAACTAGTATTGGAGCATGGTGTTGGTGCATGCCTTTAATCCCAGCACTGGGGAGGCAGAAACAGGTGGATCTCTGTGAGTTCAAAGCCAGCCTGGTATACAGAGTGAGTGCCAGGACAGCCAGGGCTACACAGAGAAACCCTGCTAGAATTAACATACAAGAGAGATGCAATGTATTGTAGAGAAAAGTCAATACAATTATCATAACTTTTTAACTTTTTTTCCCCCTCAGTTTTTCAAGAGACAGGGTTTCTTTCTCTATGTAGCCCTGTCCTGGAATTGGCTCTGTATAACAGGCTGGCCTTGAACTCAAAGAGATCTGCCTGCCTCTGCCTCCTGAGTCTTGGGACTAAAGACCTGTGCCACCATGCCAGGCTTTTTAACGTCTTTAAGTGTAGCAAAGAAAAGAAAAAAAGGAAGGAAGGAAAGAAGAAAACAAAAATGAAAGGATTTTCTTGTTAGAAAAATTAAAAGGTAAGAGTTACCTGGCTAGATGGAAAATGTTGGTTGTGCCTTTTGTTCATATATTAGGCTCTTGAATTTCAGAACAGATAAGGATCATGTTCCTGGCATTCTAGTGTGACTAGAGTCAAGAGTCAAGAAGTACCCTCCCAAAAAAAATAATTAAAAAAAAAAAAAAAAAAAAAACAGTTGAGCTTGGTGACTCAGGCCTTTTATCTCAGGGCTCAGGGAGGCAGAGGCAGCCAGATCGATGTGAGTTCAAGGACAGCCTGGTCTACAAAGCCAGTCCAACCAAGGCTACACAGAGAAACAAAGAACATTAAAAAACTCAAACAAACAAAAAAGAAGGTAAGTTATAGGTAGTTAGGGATGGTAGCTACTACATAAGACAGGCAAAAAGCATGTACTTTTCACTTGAGACATTTAACTATCAGGTAAACAAAGCGATTGTTGGGAGGCAAACAAAATTTATTAAATGTGGTATTGTGATTTTAAAGACAAAAGTGAGAGCATGCCTGTGTGCTGAAGTGGAAAGACTTGCATAAAGTTAATGATGCAAGAGCGAGGCACAAATACAGGAACTGTGAGTAGTGAAGGGATATGAGACAAAGAAATCAGGAGGAAGGTAGTCTCTAATAAGAGGAAGACAAAAGCAGGAGTCCTAAGGACAGGATTCTAGAGCTCATGAGAGGAAGATAAGGGGCTTCTATCTGAGTTCTAAACCTTTACAGCCTTAGAGAGACATAGAGAGAAGATAGAGATAGATCAATCGATAGATAGATAGGCAGACATATAGATAAGTGAATATTTGAATAAGTGAACAAATAATAAATAAATGGCTGAGTCACTCTTAAAAAATTAATGGTCAGCTGGCAGGCAGCTAGTTCCAAGACAGCCAAAGCTATACTGAGAAAGCCTGTCAAAAAGCAAGCAAGCAAGCATACAAACAAACAAAAATTAAAGTTCTGCCAAGTGTGGTGGTACACACCTTTAATCCTAGCACTCAGGGAGGCAGATGGATTTCTTAAGTGAGAATTCCAAGATAGCCAAGGCTACACAGAGAAACCCTGTCTGTAAACAGAAGTAATTAGCATGTTGATATGGGTATGCGAGAATTAAATTGTAGCTGCATCATCATTTTCAGAGGTGGTGATACTTCGACTTTATAATGTTAATGCAAAAATGCTACTTTATATAAATACACAGTACAAACTGGGAAAAGTATATTTAGGACCTGTGATGGTTCATCGGTCAACTTGATGGGACTTAGACTCATCATGGGTGTCTATAAAGACGTCCCCTTCCCCCAGAGGCTTGACTGAAGAGGAAGGTGGCTGAAAAATAGTCCAGCAGTTAAAAGCACTGGCTTCTCTTTGAGGACTGGGGTTCAATCCCCAGCACCCACATGGCCACTCACAACTGTCTGCTACCCCAGTTCCATGAATCTGATGCTCTGGCACCAGGCAAGTACATTGGAACAGACAAACTTGCAGGGAAAACATCCAGAACACGTAAAACAGGGGAATGTTAAACTTTGAAAAAGAAAAAAAATTAAAGAGGAAATGAGCTCCCCCGAGTGTGAATGGCAGTAACTCCACAGACTTGAAGTAAACCGAGCATCTGCAAGTATCACTGTTGCTGCTTCTCAACTAGCCACAATGGACTGCCTTGGGCTCCTGCCTTGGACTTCCACCACACCCTCAGGTGTTCAGCCATGTCATCTGGGTCAGGTGTTCTGTCACAGCAATGAGAGGAGCTAATCCAGGGCCATGTCTGAAGTTGTTGGCAATTGAATCCCAAACCAAAATTCAAATGATCCTGGGGGAATGAAATTCAAGTTAGCAACTCAACAGCTTTTGTTTTGAGATAAGGTCTCACTGTGTAACCCTGGCTGGCCTGGAACTCATTATGCAGTGAGATCCTGTTCCTCCTCCCCCACCAAAAGGATAATTTAAACACAATATAATCCATTTCTCTTTCTTTAAAGTTTGTTGTTGTTGTTATCTTGGTTTTTCAAGACAGGGTTTCTTTGTGTAGCCCTGGCTGTCTTGGAACTCACTGTGTAGACTAGGCTGGCCTTGAAAGCAGAGATCCTACAGTCTCTTCCTTAAAGCAACAGGATTAAAGATGTTTGCTGACACACCTGTTTGGGTATGTAAACTACAGAGCAGAAACCAGGGGGATAGGATTCCCGGGAGCTAGAGTTACAGGTGACTCTAAACTGCTAATGTGGGTGCTGGGAACCAAATTTGGGTCCTCTGGTAGACAGTAAGCACTCATAAACACTGAGCAATCTCTTAAGCCCCAGATACAGTAATTTTATACTTACACGCTGGGAGGAATGACAGCGGGAAAATATTTATGGGTTTTGTGTGAGACAGTTTCTTTATTATGTAGCTCTGACTGTCCAGGAACTCAGAGATCAACTTGCTTGGCCTGAGTGCTGAGATTAAAGGTGTCTACCACACACCCAGCTTTAAACCATTATGTTTCTATGTTCAGAGAAAAAAACAAAAACAGATTCTAACAGGCGACAGGCTAGGATCTGAGCAGAGGCCCTGCAGGCAGCGTTCACTGGCATAGTGCAGTGTTAGACTGTGGTGCCAAGTAGATTCAGAAGCAAGGCTACAGTCAAGTCCTGCATTGCCACACCAGTGGGCGATGCTGGAACATCTCAGAGTTATGTGTTTGATTGTGAATTGTCACTATTATTTTAGCAGGGTCTCTTGTGTTCCAGGCTGTATCCCAAAAAGGGCGATGGATTACAGGTGCGGGCCACCAAATCTAGATAATTTGGTCCAAGGCGTCAAGCCCAGCGTGTTGTGAATGCTAAGCAAGTGCTCCATCCACTAAACTACATCCCCAGGCCCTTGAATTAAATTTTGATCACTGAAGCTTTTGATTCTAATTTTTGTGACTCCCACATTCAGTTATGCAACCCCATGTTGGGTTGTGACCCGCAGTTCAAGAGAAATGCATATAGCAAGAATAATGTATTGTCATCCGACCAGTGGAAAATTGCTCCTTCAAATTAAAAGCAAATGTTTTAAGCAGGGAGTCTCTGCATAAACAGATGTCGTGGAGGTTTACATGTCATTTTGTACTGAAATTTTACTAGGAGTGAAAAGATTTGTGACTCAAAAATAAGCAGTCTTGAAGAGAATCTTAAAGAAAATTGAACCCACTCAATTAATTATTCATATATAAACTATTTTTTTCACCACCACTATTGTGACTCAAAAGATCATAACAGAAATATTTAGGAAGTGTGTTTTTTCACTCTATAAAATTAGAAGGGTAAAAAAACAACAAAATACATTATTCAAACAGAGTAATGACTATCTTCTAAAATTCAAATACTCTTGGTTAAGACAAAATAACAAGGGGGCTGAAGAGATGGCTCAGAGGTTAAGAATAGACACTGTTCTTCCAAAGGTCCTGAGTTCAGTTCCCAGCAACTACACGATGGCTCATAACCATCTACCATGAGATCTGGTGTGCAGGCAAAAATCTGTACAAATAATAAATAAATGAATAAATAAATAAATAAGTCTTAAAAAAAAAAACAAAAACAAGGAAAAGCTTGTTGTTTATTGAGACAAGGTCTCATTATGCAGTTCTGGCCTGGAATTCCTATGTAGATCAGACTGGCCTTGAAATCAGAGATCCTACTGCCTCTTCCTCCCAAGCAATGGGATAAAGGCCGTTGCCGCCACACCTGGCTGGTGCAATCTTAATCAGCTCTTTTTAACTGGCTAAGTGAACAGGCACATAGTCCTATCAAATAAGGGCCTATGCTGCTTCCTACCCTCTTTGGAGGGGAGGGTGGGAAATGAAGACAAACAATGGAGAAAAAAAAAAAGGTGTTGTTTTCTGGTAGTCCTGTAAGATGATCTTTTCTGCTGGGCAGCACAACCAAACACACGAAAATTCAGATCAAAGCCGGGGTGCATGCCAGGGTAATATGCAATAAAATCCTTTGCCAAAGCATTGGGGTTGGGGGGAGCGCCGAAGACCGGACAGACAAGGAGACGGAAAGAACCTGCTAGACCACCTCTTATTAAAGCAGAAAGGCAAAAACACAATTTGCCTGTACTGAAGAGTGGGGAAAGCAGTGCCCCAGATATATTGGGAGTATTCCTACAGACACGTACAAGTACAAAGACCTATTATCAATGAACCAAGCCCCAGAAAGCGATGTTCTAAACGTTGGCGTACCCCCGACACATAAATATATCACCATTAACCCTAAAAGCAAAGTGTTCTAAATATACAGAGACATGAGAATGCAGACTCATACTTTCAATGAACAGACCCACTGGCTTTACAATGAGAATCATCAAAACACCAAAAGCACAAAAATCAAAACAACAACATCAACAAAAAACCCTGCTATCTAAAATAACATAAGGGACGGACGGGTCAGGATGCGAGTTATCTTTACACTTCTCTGCCTTCTGCCCTTTTGGACGACCTCAGGCCGTCTCATTTCCCAGGACACACACCCCTCGGGTCTCCGGAAACAAAGCAGGGTCGTTAATTCTCCGGCCTGCGGGTGCACGCACGCCCCCCACCGCAGATGCTGAGGCGGCCCGATGACTTCCATCAGTGAGCACGCAGCGAGGGAGGGCTCGGTGTGCCGTGCACGGTGTGACAACCAGGCACGAGACAAGCCCCACAAAGGAAGGAGTGGCCGGGGACCCGAGAACCACGGCCACTCCGCGCCCCCGAGACGCGCGTCCGTCCCCACCGCCGACGCCGAGGCGGCGGCTCCTCCATCCTCCGCCCAGCCCGCCTCCCCGCCCGGGCCCAGCCCGGGGTGACCTCCGGGTGACAGCCCGCGCCGCCCTTTGTGCGGGTGTGCGGGGGCCGCCCCGCGGCCCCGCGGGCTCCGAGCGGGGGCGAGGCCGGCGCGCTGCCCTCAGCATCCCGGCGCGGACCCGCGGAGCCGGCGCCGCAGCCGCGCGGCCCTCAGGCTGGCCCTCCGCTCACTCACCCGGACG